ATTGCTGAGTGACATTTTTATTTCACTTTTCTGTAGCGACAACTTTCCTTTCATTTATGCTTCTCATGCTCTTCTGCAGTCATTGATAAATAAATGTCGGATGGGACGTTGATTCTTTACGTGTGACAAAACTCTGTATTGCCAGTGAATCGTGGTTAAATTGAAATGATTTCGCGATGAATGCTATCGATTGTTGTTTCGATGGCCACTGTTACATAACCAGATGATACATATGATGCATACCAGATTTTGACTCCAAAAATGTGAATATTTGACACTGCTATTTTCAGATTGCGTGGGAGGATGCTTCGGAGCTTTGCGGGAGTGTCCTAAGGGGCAGAAATGCCTGAATTCGGCCTGCTGCACATGTGGTAAGATTTGGCTCACAAAATATGTAGGTACATCGCATAATCGTAAATTGTCATGAATAAAGGAAATATTTTGCATATGGTGTGCGTTTCGGATTTTGATAGACCGAAGCATTATGGGAATGAGTAGTTTTTTGTCAGTAAAATACTTATGCCTGTAGAATTTTATCTGCCGGAAAAGAGTCTACGCAAAGGTGTTAGAAAAAAGGTGCCGCAGAGTAGCTGACTCTCAGATCCAAAAAACAACGTTATTTCAGGTAAAGGCAGATCTTCGCCTTTCACCAGATTGCTGAGGAATCATAGGAGTTCTTTCATCTTATTTACGAATTTTTCCTCGACCTGCAGAAAGCCTGGCCGGATCCCTGGCAACAAGCTATGAATGTGCCTGCAAACTTATGGAGCAGTAACCAGTATTACGATCCAGCCTGTCCACATATTGATAATATGTGCCGTATGAGAGTAAATGCCATTAAGTCGAGACCTTTCAATCTTGCTCTGGTCTCCGCCAGGTTGCATTGTGTCCCTGCTGCTCTTTGTGTTGTACATTAAAAGGATTGTCAGGCGTAGCGAAAGCGAAAAGTGCATCAACATGAAAGATGTAGTAACGTGAAGTTTGCTGTTTGCAGAAGACTTTCTTTTGTTGGCATCTTCTGAAACTGACCAGCGCTGAGGGCGATGTGGCCAGCATTCGCGAGAACATGTCTAACTGAACCGAAAGAATAGTGCCTTCTCTTTATCCTGTCCGCTGCGTTCTTCAGGTAAAGTAGAAGCGGTGGTACAGGTTTGAAATTCATGTGCCTCCGAACAGTGTTTACTGGCAGTAGAAATGAGAAGAGAGCGACCAGCAAATTCGAATGGCCGGCGGCATAGACTTATCATAACCGCTGCGACTAAAGCGTAGCTGAATTTGAAAACTAAGTTTTTTTACGTTCAAGTCGATCTTCATTTCAGTGCTCACCTACGGTCATGGGTCGTAGGCTATGACTGAAAGATTTCAATCTCAAGTATAAGCGGCTAGAATTGGCTTTCATGGGAGAATCTGTACGCTCACGCGTTTCGGCATGGTACGATATTCATATATTCTTTTCAAGACTGAAAAGTTGAAGCTGCAATGTTTGGTCACCTCTTGCGAATGGTTTCAGAAAGAAGCAAGATAACTACTACAGACTGAACCAACAGTCCGAAAATCCGGGAGATGGTGAAGAATGACCTTAACCCTTGTGCAAGAGTCTTCTAGGACTTCCGTCCAGACGCGGGTTACTTCGGCAAAAATTCCAATGCTGGTACACGATCGAAAGCACTGAAGACTTCCTCCGCGACGTGAAGGGATGAGCGCCCATCGAAACTGACTGAAATATTCGTTCGTGGTTTAACCGCTTACCACGTCGATAAAAAGGCTGAAAAGCAGTTAAAGCTTCGAAAGCTTCTTAATGAGATGGAACTGTATTCAGTTTGTTATATAAATTTGACCAGTATAAGATTTGTTATAATCATTCTCCACCGCTTCAGATCATTCTCAATCAGTCTTCAAAATAGAGACAGAATATGAAACAAAATGCAACTTGCAAATTAGTCAGATGCAACTTGCAGTCAGGATGCAGATTCATCAAGCAAGTTTCAAGCTCGACAGTGGAAATTACTCTATACTCAGCTTACTTGATCCTTCGTTTGAACGAAATTATGAAGCAGCTGGCACTAACGAGGCTGGAACCTCCGTATTGAAGCTCGTACCTGACTGTACTGATTTCTACCGTAACTTGTTCTGTTATATATTTTATCTCGCCGATATTTGAGGGGTCGAATATGATCTGAAATTTTAGAGAATATGTATGTAATAAATTGGCTATGTCATGCTATCCCTTAATGGATTTTTCGAATTATTATGTAAGGTAATATGTTTGTTAACATTTTCTTGTTAAATATGACTGAATTAAGGTTAGTTTTTCTCATGACGAAATGGTGTTTTGTGCTAGACATAGTTGTTTTATCATTTTGGGCACAGCTCAATTGTTTAATCGTTTATTATTAGTTTTTGGTTTCTGTGAACAGGAATTGTCTGTACTTACCTCACTTATGTTCTTGACCTGTGTAAAGAGTTAATTTGCTGTTCCTGTTATCGTCATTTAATACTAGTGAAGCTTCATCAGCAGAGCAGTTCAGGTTTGTTATTTCTAATAGTTTAAATACCATCTTGGTCTTGTATTGACAACTTTACTTGCTGAAAGAAAAGACTATCTCCAATTGGAATTTCTTCCAGCGCTACCGCAGCTAGTGGGGAATTCTCGTGAGAGTTTCCCCGCAACCTAAGTATGGACTTAGTAGTTTTAATATATGCAGGCAGACGTCAGCTGTCAGTTTATCGCCGTGTTATTGACGTGCCTAGCTGTTTACTAACTGATGTAGAAACGAGTTGTTCATTTTTTGACGTTTTTTTACAGTAGCAGTGAAAAATTTCTTTAAGATGTGAGGAGGAGCTAACACATAGGCATGGACAACCCATTTGCATTGAATTTTGCGGCGCGTGACAATTCAGATGGCGTGGATTTGTTTTATGCCCATTTTCGTGAAGTCGTCAGTCAGTTATTAGTCTGTTCAGATTCGAACAGCGCGTTTAATTGTCACACTTCCTTGAGGATCAGTACTTAGCATGCTGTGATCCTTTTTTGTAGTTTTTAATTCGTGCTACTTCCCTAAACATGTTTAATTGAAGGTTCGCGAGCGCTATGATGAGTTTATTACCATTGTCCTATTAGTCGGCCGTTTTAGTGTTAATATGCAATTTATCCTGTAAAACACCAGGTAGGCTATGCCAAACTTTGCCTTAGTGTGATACCCTTTAATTTGGACTTTGCGCTCTGTAGCGATTTTGACATCAAGTTTGAATATGTGAAGAGCACATATTAACTCATGCCGTTGATTTGCTTAGTGATATCAACTTACTTATATACGATTTTCAGTTATGTATTGAATAGATTGCTGACATAACACGGTGTTTTCTAATAATATGTGTTTCTCTCGTAGAGAAGGAAGAGTTCACATTGCTCCTTTGGAACTTAACTTATGAAGACACAGGAATTTACCGGTGTCATTTGGATGGCGGAAACAGCGTTGAACTTGATCTGGAAATCGTCGGTACGCCTGATGTAACTGAGATTGTCGTGAACAGTTTTTATTTTTTTAGAAAACGGTCTTTTCCCCTCAAACAACAATTTCACTTTTGACTATTCAGGTAAGTTTTGCTAGTCTGCCTGTCGAAGAATACACTATGATTAATTTGACGTTCTTCATGTATAATATTGGTTGATTACCTTGTGCTGGTTTCGTCAAAGTAGCTAAGTTGGTTTTTACCTAGAACTCGCATGCTAACGTTCTTTGGAAAACGTCTTTGTCAGATCTTTGTCGTAAATAATCCATCTAGATAGAATGATATGCACCAGTAGTTGGAATGAAACGTAAATTTTCGGGCTATGGTATATGCCACATAAATAAGTCGCTCAAGACTCACTGACACCAGGAAGGGTATTTCTCACACCATGAACTTCATCATAAAAGAGTTGTAAATCTCTTATCTAAAATCTCTGAAAGCTCTTAGGCGACCCACCTTTCCATTATTCTAAAGTTTTCTTGTATGTTTTTATCCATTACTGAACTTGTATGTTCTCCCCCACCTGTGTTTTTGTATCCTGGGCAGATTTTTTAATATCTTTCATGATTGCTGTCGCACACCAAGAAGTGTTGTTTCTATTGGCAATCACAATAATTTCAATCTTGCATCTGTTTAATACTAACGCGCAAAACCTTATCTTGTTCAGATTTTCATGCAATGATTGTTTTCCCACACATTTTCTCTTATCTCTAAAGTGTACATTTTTATTGCATACTACCGGCCTATGCATATTGCTGTGTACGATCATTGTTCCTCTCATACCGCATTGTTCTTGTTTATTTTCTCATCATCGCCTTACATTCTGCAAGTCTTTTACGGACAGTCTGCGCCGCAGTGATGTCACCTCTTTCCATATCAGTTGATTTTATTCAAACTCAAGAGCCTGGTTAATTATCCCCTTTCCGTAATATTTTTTTTAAAAATTTTAATTAAGAAGAGTTACTACAATAATTCAAAATTCCGAAAATATTTCAGTGATGCGAAGCATTGTTAATTCGGAAATTTCCAATTGCGTACCAAATAAAAATACAGTTATGATGTACAGATGAATAAAGACTTGCACGACCTTAACATGAGACTTGGAATCAAATTCTAAACGATGTTTTCTTTTAAACAAAGTTTTATTTCTGCAGTGGAGTAAATAATAAAAAATCCTTGTCACTTTTGTCATATGCGTATTTGATTAGTGTTATAAAACAGTCATTGACTAAAATCGAATTAACCGTGTTTAACTGTGTTATCGAAAGCGGTTAGATAAAAATTCTATTTTATAGCGTGTTGTTTTTTTCGAGTCATTTTTTGGCAGTGTCACACTACAAAGGTATTTTTGGTGAGGATTAAAATTTGTATGCACACACACTGCTTATAGAAATTTGAGATAAATTGTAAGAAACTATATTACAGTGAATAGCCAAATAAATAAATTTAAATTTGCTTGCACTTAAAATAGTCCTAATATATGCCTAAATATATATCTAAATGTACTTAAAATACTCTTCAACTTACAACTTATTCAAACGAGTAGAACTCATCAATCTAATACTGAATCTGTCGGAAACCGTGTATTTCGATATTTGTCACAGTTCCTTAAAACATACCGTCGAACAAAAACGAAGAGGAACCGTATTAACCGTTACTTTAGTTTTTTTGATTTTCAGTTTCAGTCAAAATTTCACCCAATAAAATCGAAAGAATATGTTCTTTTCTTATTTATACCGTTTTAAGCAGTATTTCACCATTTTTCGATGATGTATCTGAAACTCAGAGCTGCATTTGTATGGACCTCGCATGCACCACTAAGACAATGTTGAATCAAACTGAAGAATGAAATGGAGCATAGTTGCTGCCTTGGTGTCAGCTGAGAAGAGTTTAATGCAGCATTGCTGAATGTTGAAGTCACCCAGAAAATGCTGCCGGCCGATAATGGCCATGATTTGATATATAAATCGTTTCAGTTGACTGAAAACTCTTCGTCAGTTATTCTATTCTCGAAGTCAAAATTACTGTTACCGATCACGAACATTCATTCATCTTTGACTATATTTTTTAAGCAGATCGCTTATTTCCCAGAAAGCAACTCGTAATTTGCAAATCTGTGTTGCTCTTGAATTTGTTTCTATTGTTTTCATACGCATTCTTGTTCATTGCAGAATGCTGCAGGAGAGAAAACGTCAGTGAAGCATGTCTGCCGCTCTGCCACCCGAGCCGCATAGAGATGCACAAATTCGACCCTGTATCTTGTGAAAACGAGTATGGAAAAATGCTGCGATGTGTCACTGATGCAGGTATGATTTTTCTGTAATTTTTCTCTTCTTTTGGTCAAAATCAGACCATCTCTCTTTTTGTTATGATCACATTTTACAGGGAACGTCAGTCATGAACACTGCTGCCGTTCGCACCTCGTACCGCCGTTCTGTTGGGATTTTTGTACTGGACGCTTGACGGAACTGCGACGTACGCATCAGTTCTGTACGTACTGGATGCACGAAATCTTCGATTGCTATGAAAGCCACTATCGTAAGTAGCAATTAAGGAGTTATGATTCATGTTTCTTGGGTGAAGTGTGCCTTATATGACGTATTGATAAGCCAACTTATTGCCAAAAATGTTTATGGAAGCTAGTGTCTGTATTTTTTAACCAAAATATTGTTGTTGCTCTTCCAATGGTCACATATTTTTACGACGATAATAGCATGTTCCGGCAATGGTTGTTATGTCAGAACAAAAATATAGGCGCTGGAGTAGTTGGCTCGTTCGCATACGACTCCATAATCTCGTTTGTGGCCATCAGGAACACTGTTTCAGGAGCCGGTGTTCTCTGAGGAGCGAATCCGTGGCCAGCAGGTGTGCCCTAACTAGTTAGAGTAATGCACCCAAACTTCAGTGGACCTCAAGGTCAGTAGCGTTCGGTATATAAGGTATAACTTTTATGTTCCTCCCGATGACGCTGTAGCTTCGATTGTCACAAAATGTAATATAATAAATCAACATGTATTAATTTATTATGAAGTGACCACTTAATAGTAGACGTGCAGTTGATTGATGAATAAACGAATCAACTTTATAAGCAACATTTTTTTCATCTTCATCTTCCATAACGGCTTCACCTTTTGGGTCGCGAAGTCAGACGGGTGATAGTGCTTCCAATGTTCCCGACCTTGTGACAGAGTCTGAGCTTCGGCAGAAGACAGCTGGACTCTGGAGCAGACTTCTTCCGTATATTTCCATCAAGTTATGTTGGCCGTCCTCTGAGCCTTCTGCCGGTCGGTTGGGCAAGAAAGAGTTGCTTAGCCTTCCTTTCTGGGGGTATTCGCAACACGTGTCCAAACCATTGCAACTGTGACTTCTCAATTTGAAGAAGCTGCGGCCCGCACACCAAGGCGTTTGCGGATGTCTGTATTCCGGACCAAATCGAGACTTGTCTCAGAAAGTTCATTTCAGCCGCTTCCACTGGAGCTCGAAGTTTTTCAGTCGTTGTACACTATGAACATGTCGATGAAGATCGACTTCACTTAGATCGACGACACTTAGTCTTCAGACTCAGCTACGCTTTAGTCACAGTAGTTCAAGTTCACGCAGAACGCCACTGGCTACAATATTTCGTCTGTCGATCTCTTCCTCAAATTTTCAATCACTAGTAAATAAAACCTGAGGTACTTGAACTTCTCCACCTGCTCCACTGCCTCTGCGTTAATCTGAAAAAAACAACTGGGAAGGAGAACGAGAAAGCACTAGGCTTTTCGTTTTAGATGCGTTCACACGCATGCCAGCCACCTCGCATTCATCGGTGATCCTTTCCAGGGAGCACTGTAAATCAGTTTCAGAAGATGCCAATAAAACAAGGTCATCTGCATACAGCAACCTTCTCGTCTCAGCATCATGTATAACACAAACAGCATAATGGACGTGACGCATTCTTGTCGGAGACCAGTAGCAACGCTGAAAGGCTTCGACATCACGCCATTTACTCTTACTCCGCACCTGCCATCAGCATATAGTGATTGGATGGCCCGTAGCAACTAGCCATTGATCCAGTATGTTTGCAGGGATTCCTAGAGACTGTTGGGCGGGATCCAGTCATAGGCTTTTCCTAGGTCAACCGATGGGCGAACTCCCATGATTTCTTAGCACTCTAGTTGGGGCAAATATGTGGTCAGAGGTGTTTCACTTGCCCGGAAACCCACCAACGTTTGTTCCTATGTTTAATTTCGAATTATTCAGAACCTAATGTTTTGATATTGTGCTCATAGGATGATTTTTTTCCACCTGTGAATTACAAACTTTTTTTTAAATCCTGTTTTATGTGTTGATTATTTATTATTTGTCATTACCTTGACACATTAGCATGAGCCTAACTCGTCTGATTTATGATGTATACTGGATTCGCACCTTATTAACGCTTTTGCTATATGGCATCAGCTACACTACCGTAGAAGGAAAAATCCCTCTCTGTAATCAGATCTGCCCTACCTATTTCCTCCTAGTCAGCATCTGCCGTGCTTCGGCTCCTGCATGAGAAAGTCGCGGACCGAAGTAAATGGTTTATGCTCACCCTCATTGCCTAAGATAGTCAGCATTTTTTTTTTGCAGTATTCGCAGCTGCATAGGTTATCTATGCCTTCTAAAGAACAGATTCATTCCTTACATGATCCTGCTATTTAACTATGATGCATCAAAGCCAGTACTGCTGTTCGCAGTTCAACCGTCGCTCCTGCTGCTCTGTTCCAACAAACTGTCTCCTAGCCGTAAAATTGCGCTAGCCTGGAACGGGCAATGCAGAGGCGGATTTGTTTGTAAAGAGATTTTATTCTCAGCCCAAATATCGGACAGATTATCAAATCTGCACGATGCTGGAGGGATTCTGTTATTAAAACTTGGTTATCTTCATTGCATATGATGTAGCTGAACTAATTAATTTGGTCAACCTACTTAACCGTTTCATTTTCCCTTCGCACCTGTAATTCTAGTTGAATGCTCGAACGATACGGCCATAAATTGCGTTCGAAGGAATGTTAGAGTGGTGCAAATACTCTTTAGTCTAGTTCCTTTGCACCCTACGGGGGGGGCTAGCATTTCCCTGCCCTTCGACACTTTATTCCTCCTCCTCTTTATCGTATCTGCTTTTTGTTTCAAGAAGTGACATCTTGTAAGCTTCATTAACGTTTCAGAATCATGCCTGGACCCTAAGGATAATTTTAATATTTTTGTTAAAAATTTATTTTTTTCTGAGATTTTGAAAACAAAATTGAAATATGGAAACAAATTATACACAAAAATGACCAGATAATCCATCTATTATAGATCGCTAGTTTTGATACTCTCTGTGAGAATAACAATTTCTTGTCCTATCTCCGAATTTACATGGTTTAGGCTCACAGTCCCTTTGTGTAAAGACCCTTTAACCAGGCCAGCGTCGTGATATTTTGGCACGTGCTGTGCATGGATGCAAAACCGAATCGTTGAGCGTGGTCGAACAAAAATCTACGTCTATACACTACAGCGCTGAAATACCGTGGAGATGTCACTTTCTTAAGGATTGAGGGAAATCGCCATGATAAATCTAATTATTCCAATATTTCGAATGAGGGTGTTTCGATTAACCAGGTTTTACCCTAATACATTCTGGACGTTTGAATTCGTGCGTTCAGCAGTAGTTATAGCAATGACAGCGTCAGTTTCTGAGAGCATTTTTTCATCTGCTCTGTGTAACTGGAATGAATATGTTTCTGCCCTGAAGGCGGTTATTGAATCCTTATGCCAAACAAGACAAATGTCGAGTTGGAGGTTGGATGAAGTGTCTTTTTTGCGATTCTGTGGTCGGTTTATGGCCTCTGTTAAAGAGCAATGAATGCAACAGATGTCAGAAATCGCAACCTTTTATAAGTAAATATTTTTTAAGGTTTTGAATCGGGGTAATAGTAAAATTCTCTTTGATCATCCAAATGAAGATGGAACGAAATTCGAGTGATCTGTACTTTCACATAAAAAATATTCATCTGTACTTTGTTGTTTTGTTAGAAATTGACATTTCTTTTGTGGTCATATTTCTAAGTAGTCTGGTTTGTTATTTAGTCCATTAGCAAATTTTGACCGAGCTTCTATAGATATGTATTGGCATTTGGCGAATCTTTCTTCGTTTAAAACCCTTGTATTAAACTTAAGTTTATGCTCAGCATTTCTTGATATTGCTGCTTAAGCCAATAGCTTGTTGTTCAGTTCTTGTCTTTCCTATTCTTCTGTTTTTAATAGTTTCAATATATATGTCTCATCTAAAATGGGTGGTAAACTAAAAACATTATGTTAATTTATTTCGTTGCCGTTACAGTCTTGTTCTTTCGTTTTAGTTCCATTTCCTGGACCCCCTGAAAATCTCATAGTAAATAGCTTGAATTCGACGAGCGTTAGAGCTTGCTGGCGAATGCCGAAGATTCGCCCTGAAACTGTCGACTACTTCACTGTTCGATATCAAGAATTACCGGACTTCCCCCTGTAAGTATTGTGTACTTTCCCCTGTATTGTGTTAAAGACGTGTTTGATGTGGCGGGTCGGTACGATAATTATCTAGCGACTGTTTACATTAGATGTCAATCACTCTACCATGGATATTGGCTGTAAAGGGGACATTTTCATTGACGAATTTTATGTGCAGTTGATTCTCTTTTTTTCCACCAGCATTGTTTGGTAATCGACTCTAGGACTTCCTGTAGAAGGTGTTTATTCGAGGGTTGCCAAATTATTCAGGTTTTAGCAAACCATTGCCACCCTACAGTGATTAATGATCTAGTTAGCTCCCGTAAGATTCGCAGAATCATATAGACCTACACTGTGTAAACTAAACGTCTTCATATTTCCAGTATTTTCATCATACTTTCGAGATCTTTAACAGACTTTCATTGCTTTAAATGAAGTTGAGAATTAAATCAATTATTTTTCATTCAGTCGTACCATCTCTTTCTTAACTCTGTACCATGTGATGAAAGGTTTGATTTGTGAAGGAATTATTATAGTAACCGTGTGGTTTAGGATACCGATCTTTCGCGAGTTCGAGAATGACCTCATGAACATGACGCCTTTGTCTCGTAACCTGCCGGGCAACATGGACGTGACCGACCTTGGGGCGCCAGAAATTGTTCATATACGTAGCGCGCGGCAGTCGATCTTCATAAAAATGCAGGATTTGCAGACTAATAAAACGGACATTCGAGAATACAAGTTAAATGAAGTGCGTTTAGCGTTTTTTGTTGTTTTCTTTACTGATCGCGCGTATTCACTCTGCTTAGGTTCAAGCCAATGACACTTGTATGACTATAACCGGTCTGAAGCCTGGTACGCAGTATCTGTTCTATGTTACTGCCACAAACAGTTTCGGTACTAGCCTGCCGACTTTGAAGGAGACAGTCGAAACAGCGCCAAGTAATTACTGCTTTTGATATACTATTCTTATGAATGTATTTATGGTAAGCATTTTCAAGGGAAGTAATTTAGTTTCGTTGCGGTTATATTTGATTCTGATACCGATGGAATGTCTCAAGGAGCAGGAGAGGATTCCTAAACAAGTTATTT